CTCTTGAATGTGAGAATACTCACTTTGGAGAACCCTTCTAACTAGATTTGAAAGAGATTTCAAATCAACTGGCATTGGTCCACAAAAGAAGTTTTTGCACATGACTTGGAAGTCCCTGAATGAACTTGCTATAGGAACCTCCAAACAGGACCGCAGACAGTGTGAACTGTCACAGGTTGAACTGAACTGCTTGAAGGGGAGTAGGGACAGTTTCCAGCAGCTGAAGATTTATTTTTCAGCTTTACGTTTTTTTCCAAAATGACCGCCTCTCGAAAAATAGATGCTTCACACTGCTCTGTTTTAAGCAAGAAAGCAAACAACTTGCAGTTTAGCCTCTTCTCCTAAATTAAATAAATCAAACAGCAAAATGATCACTGGATTTATAGCTAAATACCTTAAACACCTCACATTTGAATATATATGCACATCAGTTCAACCAGTTTATATTTCACATTTACCTTGACTATGCATGCCAAGTTGATGATTCTCTTTTCTGACAAAGTTGAGCATCACATGTACCATTAATCAATGTGTTAGCATTTTCTGAAACTATCCTTGTGATTTTGATTTTTTTTTTGTTGTTTTACCCTCTTTAATTACTTGGCATTGCTTATAATTGCAATAGCAAATGCAGCATCAAAAGAAGGCAGGGTCTACTTTGCTAAACTTTCAGAACGTACAAAAACCAGCTAATACTCAATGGAGTTTACATTATAGACAGAAAAAAGGACTGGAAAAGGAAATGAGCATGAAGTAGGAAAATGCCTTATAAAAAGTACATTTTTTTGTACCTCATTCTTGTGAGAATATGTTTTCTGGTTTTGCAATAGCTGATGCATTATTTTATTTTTCTTTAACTCAAAGAGGTCAAATGGAAACTTTAAAAAGAACCATAAAAATCATAATAACAAACTTCTTTTCTGGTCCCTTTTCTCTAGACTAGGCATTTGGAGTTTGTTTCATGATATGGCAAGTATTTTAAAGGCAGACTGTTCTTTCTGATGGACAAAGTACTTCTGAAAACTTTCCATCTTCAAATTCCCTTTAAAAACTTAATGAAAGAAAATACTTCCGACATTTGTTTTTCCAAGACCTTTTTTTTCATCTTGTGTCATAACAGAAACTTTAGAATACAGATAGTTTTTCTTCCCAAGGTTTTGCATTCAGCACAATTCTGGAATGTTTAAATAATAATAAAAAAAGATGAATGCAACACTAGCAATTCTTTCTAAGAAACAAAATTCCTCCTTTTTTTTTTATTCCACAACAAGACCCAAAATGCCTCACTGGTATACAGAAAGTGTATACGCTTTACCAGTCTCCCATTACAAAAACTAGCATTGATGCATGTTAGCATGACTGAAATAAGAATACAGACAAATATATGTAAAGTATGTCACCCAACTTAAGCCTCAAACTACATTTCTTATTCTAGCAATAAGTCTTAAAAAAAGTTATTTTTTTATTACTGGCCTGAGGCAAATTCAACAGAGATTATGCTTCTCAGGGGAAAAGAAGCATTTTCTGAAGCAAATGTACAACTTAGCTGAGTATGCTGTAAAATCTGAAGATATTTGTCCTCTGAGTCATATTAGCACAGTCCACAGGATTCCACAGTTCCTTCTCTAGCACATGTATCACCTGAATACATGAGAGTAATACCTGTTTTGTGATCCACTTCAGCTTTCTATTACCAGATTTTAGCTGCTCTTAAATTTGGCTGTGAAGCTCCTATCCCTTGGTAGACAATTTCAAGCATTCTTTACTAACTTTAATTAACATAAAGACTTTCACAGGTCCTTATGGCTCCACATTTTGATTTTGAGCTTCATCTTTTTGACCTTTAGGACTCTCTGTGGTCTAATTCTCCTATATCATAACAATTTATGGTTTTACATATTCAGTGTGAAAGCTTTCAGTCCTAAGTCTCTGGCCATCTCTTTTCATGTACTGAGTGCACCTCAGCGAGAGATGCATCTTTAAAATAGCATCATGTTTTTCTCTCTTTGGAACATTTATGTGCATCAAAAGATTTATTACTATTATCATTATTATTTTATAAGATGCTAAGTTTGCAATAATTGCCGAGTCCTGATAGAAAAATATTCAAGAGTTTTGGTTGATTTCTGCTGAAGACAGATAAAGCCAAGGAATCAACTGATGAGAAACATGCAAAAAAGCAAAACGCACGCAGTAGCTGCCTGCTGTGATATTACAAAGAGCAATACAACCAAACCAAAAGGAAGGAAAAATGCTCAGTAGAAATTATGTGATATAAATCATCAGGTGGACACAGACAACAGCCATGAATATGGCAAAAGCTGCAAAATGAGAACAGCTAAGTAGACGAGGATTGGCCATACTACAGTCTCACAGCCTGGTTGCAGACTAGAAAACAGAAGAGGGAGGTTCTCCTATGACAGAAAATCTGGTCCCCTGATACTGGTGGCAAACAAGCTGTAAGACTTCCTTTCTTAAGGCTTATAAAAACCATTATTGTTGTTTTTCTCTCCTGACCCTCTGTTGAAAAATGGTTCCAAACCCAAAGAATCGGTGTAGTTGAAAGGGGTCTCAAGACACCATTTAGTCCACCCTACAGCTCTGATGTGTCAAAAATTTCTTTCAATGCAACTTTTCCTGAGATTATTTAGCTTTCCAAGTGCTCTGAGATACTAAGAATAAAAGGCTTTAAAAACACATTAGATTCAGTAAATACCTTTCACCATCTAAGTTTAGTATCACTACAACTGGTAAAGATGGGAAATTAGTAGTAATAAGGCACAATAACTTCTCCTTCATTCACTATGCTAAAAATCCATCATTCTAATTGTTTTGAAGGATGTATACCTACAACAATAAAACCAAAAATTTGGTTGAAGCAGAAGAACCTCTGATGAATAAACAAGTTTTGATATTCCTGCTCCTCATTCATTAGGATTTTATTAATATAACTATTTCATTCATTCAACAATTACAAGAAGGCATAAAAATATTTCAGATGGCTCTTTCCTATACTAATGAAGCAAACTCTTAGAAGAAATAAAGTACTTTCTTCTCCAGGTACACTTATTGACAAAGCCCTACTATGACTGCAAAACTTTTGACTCAAGACAGGTAACTTTCAGGTTCAAATTCACTGAAACTTAAACAGAACACAGACTTGATACCCGAGTCCTTTGTCCTCCAAGAACACCAGGGTTTATAGACGATTTCTACCTTAGGTTGGTTTCCATTGGTGCCTAAGTATTAGCAAGACAACTAGGTACTCCAAAGATAAGTGCTTTTTTGAAACCATCAACACAATAATTTTCTAATTAATAAAAAAAAAACCCAAACATTGCCATAGCTGAACAGGTAACTGTTTTGTGACACAGCAGAGACAACACGCTAAGACTGGTAATAAATTACAAAACCCAGTAACATTAATCTCAAATCAGTTATAATTAAGAAATTTTTACACTAAAGCTTCTACTTTCCTCATGGAGCTTCCCGAGAAAATTAGAGCTATGTATTTTTCGTTTCAGACCATAGGAAGATTCTGTGCAAAACAAAATACTGCTTTCTTTCACAAATATTAGTATGGGATAAACGGGGATGACTGAGACAGAAAAGCTTCAGATTGTGCTCTTTTCTATGCTAGTCAGGAAGGTTTAACAATAGATCTAGACCATATGTCTGCTTTTTTTGTGTACCATCAGGGGACAGAAATATTTTGGAAAACTTGGTATAATTCTAAGATATTATGTTAATTCTTAAAGTTCAACTGAAAGACAAGAACAAACCTGTTGGATGTTTTCAATCTACTGAAAATGCAGTTCTACCACCAGGATAAATGTCAAAAAGAGAACAAACCCCGGGAAAATGCACAAAACCTTAAAATTCGAAAAAGGTAATAAATGATCCTTTCTTTAGTATTGAATTACTGCCAGGCTAACAAATAGACCACAGATGATGACGAACCTCAGAATTAAGCTTACTCTCTGAAATGAAAGCATGTAAAAATTGGTTTAATATGTGAAAAATAAAAGTATTTTTCTTCTAGCACTTTAATATTCTGGAACAAAATTGAGTACGTGTTTCTTAGTGTGCAACATCAGGCCTGGCCATTAAGCACAACATGGCTAAAACCAAACTCTCATTTTTCCTTTGAGCTGTGCTCTTTCTTGGTCACTGGGGAGATTAACACCACCATCTGTCATTCACCAGCAGAATCTGTCTTCTGCAGTTTTGGCCACTTCAAATTTTCACCCAGGTTGTGCTTTCTACATAATACCCCCTTCAGTGACAATCCACCGCTAGAATCCAAATTACCGTGAAACAGCACTGCAAGGTTCATCTTCTGATATTCGCTGACACCGACATGTTATCAACATTCTTCTCATACCTAGCTCGAAAACAGCACTGTACCAGCTACTAGAAGACAATTTACTCTACCCCAGCTGAACCAGGACAATTGGGTATCCATCAAGCATTCCATTCACTCAGAGTTGTCCCACTGTGGCTTCCAAGCCTGACGGCTCCTAGGCTGCTGCCGTGCGAAGATCACTATCGCTATTCAAGCTGACTTCAGCACTTCATGGTGGTTCCTTCTATTCACTTATTGGATCCTTATGCAATTAGATTTTAAAGTTACCTTTTTCTGTGCTGTACAGGACCTGATACACTGGAGTCCTGGGCTCATAGCTAGAGTTCCTGTGTACTCTGGTGATAAAAATAAAAACCACCATAAACCTGCCAAGGACACGCCCACATCTGCACCAACCTTGCCTCAGGAAGCTCATATTCTAGATGATGTTGTGAAAAAGCTGAATTATATCTATATTTCTGACTGATAAACTGTGTGAATTTCAGCACACACGAGCAACACAGAAACACACACGCTCTGGGGGCTCATGTTGGGGGTAGAGCACGGAAACATACACAGATGCCCTATGGACATAGAGACATCCATGGCATACGGCCACAGATATCTGCTGAAGGGAAAGCTGCAAATTACTTACCACGCTGCAGCCAGGGCAGTCGGGACCATTTTCACACGTCCTACGCCGTGCCTGGATCCCTCCTCCGCACTGAGCAGTGCAGCGCTCCCAGGGACCCCAGCCTGTCCAAAACACGTGAGGGGGGCACAGCAGATGCTCATTGCAGTACCTGTGAGAAGAGGCAGACAAGGAGGCAAAGAATCTATTTAGTACCAAGACAAGACCTCCCCGAAAGTCCCGCATTCGCATTATTCAGATAGATGTTTGTAGAGGGTAATATTTTAGACAAAGGGCCCCTCTCTATTCATAAAGCACTGAACTAACAGTTGTCACACTGCACAGTGTTTAAACGTTTGAGGTTCGGGGGTTTTTTTTAGGCTGTAATTGTGTGGGTGAAGCATTTGTTTGCTTTATTCAGTGCCTTTATACAAACCCTGCGCTACAACCATGCTATTGTACTGCGAGCATGTAAGCAAGGTAGACAACTACTTTATTGAAACCAGTTGTGGCTACACATCTGGGGCAGAAGTGAGGCAACCCAACAGAAGGCAACCACTTACCCAGGCAGTTTTTTATCAGTCTCCAGCTAAGCACTGGTTAGGATCCATCCCTCTCCTCTTCAGAGAGCTAAACTTGCTTTTTGCTTTTGCTTTCCACAGTGTCTCCACTTTTATGGGTAAAATAAAAGCTAACATTGATTCTAGGCATAAAGAACTGTAATGTTTTCATAGTGTTATTACTTTATCTTTTAAAGGGTGTTTTTAGCTGTTACAATCTTTGAAGGATTTCCCAGTGGGCTGCAAACTGATTCAGAGGCCTACTAGGTTCTTGAGGGAAGCAGGAATGTTTTACTACTGAGCTGTCATTATTGTACCAAGACATTCAGATATGTAGGAGGGTCCCAGTTTTTAGTGAGTTTTCCATTTTTTGTAAAAACCTGAGATTCCTGATTTCTTGAGCTCACCATCCGATAACTCTAGCCATAGCATATGCTGCTTAGTAAGGACCCTCTACACAGGTCCAAAGGATCTGGGCCACCAGCAAGTGTGACTGGGGCTCTAAAAGAGACCAAGCTGTTATTTCAGATAAAGGAAAGCCACAACAGATATTCAGAAAACAAATGACCCTGAAGGAGTGCTCTAATATTTTATGGATGTGGCTGGGTGGCTCTTGTTCCAGCTACTGACTGTCCTGAACAAACAAATCAATGTTCCAGTATTTCTTCATTTTTTACACCAGCCATCCAAAATCCGCTGTCTTGTTGCTCTTCAAACAAGTTTCCACCACTTTGCACTCTCCTGCAATGAAAACTGACTCCAATACTTCAGTAAATCATTTTCTACAAAAAGAAAAATGACAGTATAAACTGTTGACATTTTCAGAAAGAATAACCATAACCACATTTTTTTTTTGCAGAAAGCCCCAAGATCCTCAAGCTCTAGTTCTTCATTACCAAGGAATTTGCACATTCAGGATTCTGGGGGAAAATTTGTTGTTTGTGTATGTTATATACAACAGTAGGTTTGTCACATATGCTGGAGCCTATGATTCAGAATTTGTCCCTAGGTCTGAGCAACTCCATCAAAATTTAAAAGCTTGGGAGTGGGGTAAATAGGGGAGTGACATTTAGTTTTGTGTTTCTCTATATTTAAGGAAACTATTAACAGCTTGTATTGACCTCATCTGCTGTTTACCAGTAAACCAAGGAAAAAAAAATCCAAACCCTCAATATTTATGAATCTGCTATCTCAGAATTCTTCAGTGCGTGATTTGGGTAAATGTTTTTCAACAGTAGCTTATACATAAGCTACCTTTTTTTTCCTCCTGCATGTTCAATATTTGCAATTCACAGTTCACATTATGCCATCACTAAAGATGCATAGGCATGTTCTGCGCCTGGATATTCTTCCCCCAAATCTCCAACAGCTGTACACATTCTTTGTCACATGCAGTCATTTATGTGAATGTTTGTGATAGTTTGTCTCTGTGATCACTTGTTGAGAACGTGTACGCAATGAAGCGTAGATGTAACATCACCATTTATTTAGTCAAATGAGTACACATTTTGCATAATTTCATTAGTTCTTAATGGAGATGTGTTGAGTTAATTTGGGACACACACACAGAATAAAGCAAATCTGCCATGAAGTTGACATTTATCAATATTCAGCCATGCAAAAAGTAAAATTAAGGGTGGGATGCATCTCGCCTTAAAATATAGGCATGTACAGTGTAGCTGTCTATAAATGAAGTAATCATCCAACCTTGAGCAAGAGTTCATGGAAAGAAACAGCCCTTTCAAAAATATGATTTATGTCACCCTAAAGCAAATGTCTAATGTAGGCCCTACAAATACAGCCCTCAATATACTGATTTCTCTCCATTGACTACAAAGGCTGCATGGGAGACAGACATCTAAGCTCCCATTACAGCCAATGGACATTTTGTCATTACAAGCTATGGAGACTAGAATGATTAAGTTGACCAAATTTAGGAATATACAGTAAAAGGAGACAAATCGCTCTCTTCTCCACAGCCTGTATCAACTAGACTTCTACAGACCGTACTGGAAGTTCAGACACCCAACTCACACATAAGCACTCACATTCGTGGACACCTGAAGTTAGGTGTGACAAATCTCACTTCGATGAGGCTCACGACACTCTACAGTGCCTCTTCCAGTGTCAACATGCCCGATCACCTGCTCTCTCACTTAAGGGGAAGACAGAAAGGAAACCTAACAACTGATACAGTAAGCACTTCAAAGGCTGGCAATTCTGCTAACCAACACTATTTAAAGATGCAGTTGAAACTACAAGATGAAACTGAAAAAAAGCCCTAAAATGTCTATGCAAGCTACTTAACTTCAATTTAGGAGAAAAAGTTTTTAAAAAGTCAACAGCAGAAGCGAGTGTCAATTTTTCCTTTTTTTGAGGAAAAGAAGAAAGAAACAACACAGCATACAAGTAGAATTGTATTTTCATTTCAGCCAGCCAGCCTCTGAAAACATCAGGTATGCTTTCACAGCTAGAGACATCCCTGCAATTGATCTTTGAGAGCTGTGCTACAGCACAGGGCTTTGAGCCAAGTTTCATTATATCTCCTCTTGGCTGCATTTCAAGTCACTCAGTAACCCTTTTTCCCTTTTGCTCTTTCTTCCCCTCTTAATTGTGTTCTCAGGACCCACAGGGCTAACATTTTACAGTAATTCAACAAAACATGCAATGTAAGAAACTTGAATCTGTGAAACCACTGCCCTCTCCCCTAATCTAACTGCAGTGAGGTCAGAAGGGAGAACAGCCTAGAGAAATGTGGGTTTTGCACAGTGACCCTTCCCGGTTTCCCTTGCAGTGAATCCAAGTTCAAATGCCCTAATAAAGGAATTGTCATACTGGGGGAAGGGAGAACATCCTCTGTCCAGTTGTATCCACAACCACTAGTTCCTACAGTAATTTTTTTAATTTTTACTCCAGGCAATTCCAGTACAACTGGAATTACTATTCTCATTCCTCTGAAGATCTCAGGCTTTCGTAAGACATCAATTTATTTCAGTGTTGCCACGCAGCACTGAGTACCACAGGCTAACTGCACGACAGTAACAAATGTGCCTTTTTTATTCCACAGAGAGATGCTATTTAATTTAAACGTATAGTTCTTAATTTTGAACTATATTATACTAGCATGTATTTAAGAAAAACAAACTAACCTTCATCACTGTCTGCCCGTTCCCATGCAACATACTCTTACGTGGTGGGTACTCGTGATTACCAGCTGGTGACAGATGATACTGAGGTTGATGGGAATGCTGGATTCCTTTAATTGAAGGCAGACACACGACGCACACACACGCTTTACTGGGTTGAGATTGCTGAATCAACAGAAATCCCCACCCAGGAGACTGTGGAAGGTGGCAGGGGCCACGGCTTTTGTTCCCAGGGGCTTCTGTGGAAGAAGAGGAGGGAGCAGAGAAAGCAAGGAGGATGGAGAGAGCCGTGGGAGCGCAAGCAAGCCCAAAGCCTCGTGGTGTTTATCTGCTCTGCTGAAGGGAACCAGGCTTGTGCGCACTACTCGGGAACAAGCAGTGCTACGCAGAGCAGGCACTTGACTCTTAGCAATTCCTCCTTCTCGTGGAAACAATCCCAAAAGCTCTGAATATCTGCTCAGGATTGTGGACAAAAAAAGGTGACAATATGTACTGCTTCTAATCACCTTATACACCCCCAAATTCCCAGGGCTTTCAAACATTTACTCCTCATCTGCAGCCAATTTATTTTTCTAGTTCTGATTTGCAATGCTTTTTTTCTTTCTTTTTTCCCTATGCAATAAAAGATAACTACACTCACTAAAAGCAAAGGTTTCTCATTCTAATGTCCCTAATTTCCGCACAGATAAGAGGGAGACCAGTGGACTTAATGAGCCCATATCCACTGCATTCCACAGAAAGGAGAGGACAAACATTTTCACTCAATGAAAAAGTCAAGACAGGATACTATAGACTCTATAAACTAAAACCTTGAGAGTTTTCCAGCAGCTTCGGCGAATATTTCTCATACAGGAAAACCCAGAAATTTTTAAGCCCCTAAGGAATTCATCAGGATGTCTTCCATCTGGAGTCTTAACTACAAAATTATTTTCTCTGATGAACAAATTTTGTTAAAATACTATTTTTAATCCATCTCCATATTCTGTCTAAATGCACATCAGCTGCACTTTTGACCTATTTCTACAGGGTGAATTTGCTTTGTAATCTGAGTCTTTGCTGCGCTCTCACAATTGTTTTCCCCCCCCCCCCCCCCCCCCCCCCCTTAGCAGCAGAGCAAGCAAGAGCTTAACCTATCTGCAACATTTTAAGTTGGTAAATATTGCCATTGATTTCCAGGGAATGACCAGCAAGCACAGAGCTGCCTGATACATTAACCATGAAACGATCATGGCTTTCATGAGGTAAAACAAACATAACCGAGACAAACATTTAGCTCTTAATGCATGAACAAATACTCTCAAACTGAATATGCATTCACATCTGCAGGTGAATTTATCTCAGCTATATGCTGCCTTTTCTGTGTTTGCTTTCTACGGACTTACGCACTGGACTTCTATGGAAATCACTGTTTGCTGAAAACTGTTTCAAAGTTTGGCACAATGTTGGCTGTGGAAACCGAATCCCGTATTTCTGCCCCTGAACCTGTGAAGGTGACGCGAATATGCACTTTTATAAACACAAATGCACACAATGTGTAAACCAACTAATTCTAGTTTTTACTAAGACTACGCATCTATTCATTTTACATATGTGCTGGGCCATTAAGGCAGTAAAATATTAGGCTATTTATAAGCCGATTAATTTAACTGAGAAAATCTGAGAAGCTGCTTATCGGTACTCTGGATACAAAACCAAGGTAAACATTTCTTAGGAGTTCCTCCATGTGGAGTATTTGCTCAGCCTGCCTATACGTACTGGGCCCAGTTCTCAAAGGAAGCGTTTCCATTTGGTGCAGGTGTAACCCCAGTGGCACTGGAGCGGCGCAGTGAATCAGGACTACTGTAAATACTGGTACTCCGTTGCCCTCGCAGCTCAAAACTCTACACTCTGTCAGAGCCCCGAGGACACTCATAAGGAGCTAATGGCCCCAACCAGCCTCACCTGGGACCTCCACCCACACCCACAGACCCAGGAGCTCTACTTGAGCTCTGCCAGGGACCTTCAACCTCTGCTGTCGGAGAAGTGCTGAGCCTTGTCCCTGGCCCACCATGGAGCCCCTTGGTCTAGACCTCAACGTGTGGACTGCCTTCTGGCCTTGGCCCTGTTGCTATAGACCTGCCCGGTGACCACTGAACCTGACCCTAACCCCAGCCTGCGGCTCGGCTTCCCAGCTGGACCTCAGCCTTGACCCATCACCATGATGTCACCTAGGGTCTAGACACTTGGTTGGACCTGGCCAGAGCCTCCAGGCTTGCCCCGCTCCCTGGCTGGGGGTGCTGGGATGGGCCCTGGCTGGCCAGGTTCCCAGGACTCTGCTTTTTACAGCTGTGAAAAGATTTATCCAAGTCCTTGGCCTGTCGCTGAGAAAAATCCTGGCAAATAACTGATGCTTCGTTCCTCTAGCTGCTTTACAAATTATACGACAAAACTTCCTAACACACCACACCTTCTGGACATAAATTTTGGAAGTACTTCGAAAAAAAAACCCCAACGCTAGAAGTATCAGCAGACATAATGGATAACTTAAAATCAGGGTAGAGGCAGGAGCTCAACTGTGAGCAAGCTGGTGAGTGGGAGGAAGGTGCAGGGCCGGTGAGAGTGACGGGTGTTTCAAGGAGATCGGAAACAGCGACAGAGGAACTGTGAGAGAAAAAGGCACCCTGCAGTAAACTCACAGGCACGTACAGCCCCGATTGCTGCTGAACTGGACAAAGGGGGAAAGGACAAGTAACCTGCAGGCTACAAAAGCAAAACAACATAAGCCTGCTGTTCCTTCAGAACTGTTACGTACCAAAATTCAACCCTTCTAGGCTGCTATTATTTCAACTCATTCTAAGTATCACTTTCCACTTTGTCATTGCTTTTTTAGTGCACCCGTTGTCTTAATAGTGGACATTTTCTTCTATAATTATGAATGTATTTCTCACCATTTTCTGTATTTCTCTGAAACTCCTTAGTGGACTTTTATTTCATGTGAAACTTAAGATGAACAATGACTACTAAGATTCATAGTCCATCACCAAAAAGTCTATCCAAATTAAACTCTTTTCTTCTATACTCAGTCTCATTGTGCCGTGCCCTGGACTGACCTCTCAGTTCAAGAAAATCAATAACTATTATTCATGCTGGGACAGAGCTATGTAACAGCAGATATAATCTGCATTTGGTGGTGATGGCTTTTTGGTAGGGCAACTTATTTTCAGAAAGCAATTTACAAAATAACAAAATGCTCTCCTCTGCGATGAAATGGTAAATATTCATGGCTCTGAAACAGCAAGAAGTGTTCACATGTTCTGTGATACTGATCCTTTACATTTAGAGTTAGAAAGACCAGGTCCCTGGTGATATGTTAATACATAAATGTGCGCTGCAACTTCCCTTCAATGGAATCTCTTCATCTGGAGAAATGCCAGAGTTGGTGTTTAATTAAATCGCTCACTGAAACTCATCATAAAGGTTACTGAATCTTGTTTTCATCCAACAGCAATACAGGATACTAAATCATCCATACAGAAACACTGAAGTGAGCTGCAAGTGCATATTGAAAGGAAACACATCCACATACATCTCTTGGAACAGATGACTCCAGGACTCCGAATTCTTAGACCAACACCAGTCTTCTGCTATCTAGCTTTCTGGCATGCCTCGGGAAACAACATGATGCATCTAAGAGTTGCAGTTTATCTGAATATATTCTAGTTTGGTTTCAAGAAATATTTAATGCTTGTTAAAATTCCTAACACACAAATTACCAACTAGAGTCATTAGGGTGCATGTAAAATGGAATCAGAGGCCTGAACTTTACATTCTGAGCTAGTGACAAAATACCTAGGCCAGTGCCAAAGCAATAGATGGTGAAATCAAAATCTGAGCTGACTTGATCTGCTCAGGGGTTAATATAGATACAAACAATTTAAAAAAAACCCTGAAACCTTACTAAAAGATATTTGAGTTCAAGGTGTATTATATTTATTGAATATAAAACAAAGCCCTTGAAACTTCCTTTCGTGTTCTAGGATGCTTAATTCATTTAAGACAGAAAAAAAATGAACTCACAGCATCAGTAACATAGTGCTGTGACCTTACTATATTTTGCTCTATATTCCAGGTCTTGAGGCTGGGCAAGTTACAATTCAAACACACTGCAATCAATTTTCAAGGAGAATCAATTTTCAGGGTCCCAAGGGACAGCAGCACATTGCTCCAGCCCAATTCTCTGGCACTACCAGGAGCTCTCAGCTGGCTCAAGAGGGATGCAGCTAAGTGAAAGATGAAAGAACCGCTGCAGACCCACAGCCTTGCTAATGGGAACACTGCTACTGTGCAGCAGTGCAGTTAGAGAGTGAGTGAGAGGAAAGGAAAGAGAAAAACAAGGCAGGTAAAGGAGAAAATGTCCTCTGGAATACAGCGGAGCAGAAGAAATTAAAACACACTGTTGAAAAAAGATAACTCACCTCTCCTCCCGATTCTGTCCCACACAGACGCGTCCTCCGTGTCGAGGGGTTGGATTGCTGCAGGAACGCTGACGAACTTGAAAGCCTATTCCACAAGTGGTACTACAGGGTGACCAAGAAGTCCATGGTGTCCAGCCTCCATTTCTGGTAGAATAAAAAGCTCAGGCTCTGTCATCTGTTATACATAGCGAATGGCTGATTAGGTGTGACTGACAGCAGAATCTGGCCCATTAATATTTCTGTAGAAGTCATTAATACTGCATTGTATTCCATTTCTTAAAGAATATGGAACTAAAATAAAGGTGGTCTGATCCTTCTATATTCCATGCTCTGTAATCGGCAACTGCTAAAATGCCCTCATTACACAAGAAGTATAAAGATAAGAAGCTATTTAGTTGCTTTCAGTCACTTTATTCTGCATAAACTTCACCTGCAAACTCCTCTATCAAAGTTCCGAAGATAACTTTTAATTACATATTGTTCCAATTATTATTTGTGGGTCTTTTTTTCAGGGAAATTAAAATGTCAAGTTTTGCTACCTCTTCTGAAAGGAAAGTGATTAAAGCCTGGAGAAAAGGAGGCTGAGGGGAGACCTGATCGCTCTCTGCAACTACCCGAAAGGAGGTTGCAGCGAGGTGGGGTCAGTCTCTTCTACTGAGTAACTAGTGATAGGATGAGAGGGAAATGGCCTCAAGTTGCACCAGGGGAGGTTTAGGTTGGATATTAGGAAAAATTTCTTCACCAAAAGGGTTATCAGGCACTGGAACAGGCTGCCCAGGGATGTGGTGGAGTCACCATCCCTGGAGGGATTTAAAAGACATACAGACATGATGCTTAGGGACATGGTTTAGTGGTGGACTTGGCAGTGTTAGGTTAATGGTTGGACTCGATGATCTTAAAGGTCTTTTCCAACCTAAATGATTCTATGATTCTAAAGGGAAAAAGAGTAATAAGTGTCAAAATGCACTAGTTCACAATTTCAACAGGATACTCTGATAAGGCGTCAATACCTTATTTGCAATGTAACCAAAAAGCTAACAGAATTCACATGCTGTACCCTGCATTTGTGAACGTTTGGAAAGGACACTCCTGTCCCTCCCCAATATACCCTAGGAAAAAATATACTAGACCAAACATCTCAAAAGGAATTTCATACCCTGTCCTAAGCAAAAAATGATGCACTTCAGCAGTTCCCAAAACCTTTTGATGGCTAGCTTGCAGTTTCTGTATTGGTAGAAGACAAACAGAAATCAAGAAAAATAAAACTAAATTATAAGGAGTTTTTGAGGTTTCATCATAAAAGCAAAAGTTAATATAGTGCCTTACTTGATTTTGAAATCACTTTTTTTTTAACAATGAAAATTAATTAAATCCAGTAATAAAAATGACATAAGATTATTCAAGTAATTTATCACAAATATTACCAATTTAAATTTCACTCATCTTGATGTCTTGTTATTATAAGGGAGATAAGAGTTGATAACACAGAAAAAAAGCTTTTGAAAACATTAATCAGCTATCACTGGTAACACAGACCAAAAAAAAAATAAGATCTCTGTCAGTGCAATGTCTGACCCAAGCCATTGTCCTAATCTGATGCTATATACTACATTGTCATGTTTTTAATAATTTCCCTAAAATTGACTATTTCCACTTACAGAGCTTGCAGTTATCTTGTGCAGAAGGATAATCAGTTTTATTCACTACCATGATGTGCTTCTGATGTTTAAAAAAACCAAAAAAGCAGAGACAAAAAGCAGAAAGAATCTGAAAATAAGCAGAATGCACCAGCATATAAGTTTCATCTTGCAATTAAAGTACATATAATGTTTTAAACATGAACTCCTAATGCAGTTCAGGATGTGCAGTGTCCTGAGTCTCTTTGAAATGATCTGCTCTCACTGTTTTTTCTGGGAGTGGTTACGTGCCTGAGGAAGACAAAAGAGTGGCTGAAGAGTGGCATACAGACTGGTAATAGATCTAGATGTCGTGATACAACCAAAAGATGTAATAAAAACATTTTTCCCAAGGCAGAATAGGGGAATATAATGGTGACATGAGACCTCCAAAAAAGTGAACAGTTCTGACTTCCAGAAAAAAAGTTTTATGACTTCCAGAACTGAGAAAAACGTATCATACTTGGGATATTACCTCACTGATTTTTTTCTTTCTGAGCTTTTGTCAAAATTAGCTGAAGACAGTGTTATTTGGTACACAGCATTTGAAATCACAATTTGCTGTCTGGCTCATTCTCTCTCCCACAAAGCCCGTGAGATACTTTCTAACACTGTGGCCATTGCTATAAGCTGTTTCCTGTACAGAACAGGATCTATTCTGATGAAGTTAAAAACTTTTAAAGCATAAACAATAGAACCTGAAATTGTTTTGTGTACCTGGAACAGTTGGCGATCTCCATGGTTGGTCCTTCACACAGCCAGCCTCCGCACTGCGGAGCAGGACTGTCACACACCCGGGTCCTGCAGAGGCAGGAGCCAGCGCTGGCACCGTCAGTGTGGGTGCAAGGTTTCCACTGCGACCACGTTCCAAAATGCCCATCCACTGTCAGATTCCTCATCTAGAAACAAACACAACAGAAGGCTTACCCGAGGCCTGACGCTTCCTTCACACAACCTCTTAATTCCGCAGTACAGGGAGGTACAGCCTTCAGGTGCCAACTCTAAATCCTCCACTGCAGAGGAATACGTTCCAGACAGCAAGCTCCCCTTAAAATCTCTCTAGCTGCGAAATTCCCACCATCTGCAACCAACCTGGGCCAGTGGATGCCACCACTACAGCAATAACAATAATCACAACTAACCGTTACCTTTCACAACTGTGCTTGCCTACAGTGATTCCATAGAAAGTACAGTTTCACCTTCTCGATTATCTTCTGATGACAGTATTCCCTATTTCCTAAAATTTACCTGTGATTAGGAACCTGGACACTGACCGTAAAACAGCATGTGCAAGAATGCTTGTGGAAACCCTAATCTACATTGGTAGGAAGAGGCAGCAGAGGTTAATAGTCCAGAGTAAAAAAACTGCGTGAATGAAACTCAAATCTCCACGATGATTGTCTTTTTGACAACAGTTTTTTGAAGCACGTAACAGATAGCACCATTTCATAAAAGTAAAATGTAGTTTTAAATTACTCTCTCTAAACAGTAGATGTAATTACATGTATAAATCCTAAAAACATCTTCAAAAAAGCAGCTCCTAACCCTACATGATGAGACACTTCGCTCCTGCTGAAGTCAATTCTCAACACCTTTGGCTGGAAGGGTCAGACCATTCTCACCTTGACTGGAATGTTTCCATCATGCAGCCATAACACATGCTAATAAGAATTCTTTACTGTCCAGCTGAAATGGAATGCGCTAACGGAAACTGCCGCTGCCTCCATTGTTACTGGAACTTCTAAAGAAAATAGGGCTGGACGTGGGGAATTCAGCTCTCTTAAAAAGACAGGCTTTCATATTATTGATTCTTTTAGCAAGATGCTAATCTTCACAAATCTGTGATCATAAATGGAAATGATGGCCACTTTTTCACTTAAATGCTAAAGGATTTGCCCTTTGATTGTCACATTTTAACTTTCCATCAAAACAACAGTACTAACAAGTGCAGGCTAAATAGCATTTAAAGTCACTCTTAAATAAAAATTAATATGTATCTGTTGTAGTCATGCATATTTTATCAAATGTGTAAGAGCATAACACTTTAACATTTGCTTATATATTGAAATAGGAACTACAGTTGTAGATGGTCATGAATAATCTGAAATGGTGTCTCCCTTTGGTATTTTTAGTATTGTTTCATTTTAACAGTGCTGAGGGAAGTATACATTTCACTAATAATTTGAAGATAGAAGAGATTCGATTACAGCACGAGGCATGTTTCCACTGCCACGCTGGGTGCTGGCTGATTCTTTCCACTGTAGTAAGGGCTCCATAATTTCACTACTAATTACTTTGCTCATGATTTATTTTTCAGAGATACAGCTTCTCCACAGAACAGCTATATGTATGCTCTGCCAGCTACAACTGACATAACCATAATTCATCATTTCAAAATTCTGCTGACAGCTGTTTATTGAAAATAACTCACTGACCTTTGCTCATGCAGAGTATACACTGTTGTTTTTCATAAGACAACAAGAAATACTTACTTCTTGTTAAGTGACAAGTAAACCCATTCTCTCCTACATTGCTGGTCTAACAAATATACAGTCCATAAACTAGCAATGATACCTCCCCAATCCAATTAATGTCGGAGATGTGAAAATGTCTGCTGCTTTCCATTTCTATGCTGCACCAAAGCATCTTTATTGTTGCACCTGCAATTATAAACTAAAGCTACAGTTGTCTATGGTTACCATAATTTATATCAAGTGGCAGGGAAAGTATTCACAAAATTCAGCTGAAAGCTTGAGCTCAGAGGGACATACTGATGGCAGATTTTTGCCCCCTGCTCCTGTAAAGATCATCCCACTGCAGTCTCTGCTCTTCTCCCCGACTCACCTGCTCTGTCTCTCTATGAGTATCTCCCTTTCACAAGCGATATTGAACAATTTCATCATAGGACTATAGGAAGGCAAAATGTACTGATGAGGGGCCGCCTTAGCCCTCACCAGAACCCATGCCCATTAACCTTTCACCATCTGGCACGCCTCAAGGGGAAAATCGCAATCAATCGGACTATAGGGCTGTACTTTCCCGGCATGGCTACACTCTGCTTTCCCTCTCTACTACCCTGTTTTTGTCTCCCTTTCCCTTCTGCAGATACCTCTAGTCCCTTCTTCCTTCCTAATGCCCTGGCGGCATCAGTCATCTCTGTCCTGAGCCTCTCCGCACCCACCTTGTCCTCCTGGTTTGTGCCTCTGCACTCTGAGCCGAGGTCACTTCTTCAGTGACCCAGCCCTTAAATCCGCCACGAGCTCTTGGGTTTGAGATTACTTTGTGTAGAATTCAGTGGCTCTGGAGTGTTTCCGGAAGCTGCTAATGAATTCGGGTAAGATCCCATACTATACTCTTTCCCTGCGTGCAGCTGTAAAAAATAAAGCCTTTTCATGTTGCATACTTATGTAAAAAACCCCAACTTTAAAAAAAAATATTTTTACTTTCCGTATAAAAGCTCTTTGATAATGTCAGACAGTGTATTTTTAAGTGATGGATTGCAAGTGGTCCCACTGGAAAATATTTTGGCAAAAAAATGAACCTTCATTACTATAAAAAATACTGGATGAATAATAGGGATATGTGACCAACTGGAAGAAGCTCAAAGTAGACATATGTGCTGTAGCATTAATTACTATCTATATTCATGCACAATTGGTGTACTTAGGCCAACTGAAACAACAACCTAAAAAACCAACTTGAGAATTAAATCAAAGCAAGATAACCAAAAAACCCACATTTGTCACAAATGATCTTCAAAGTTCAGCGAGATGGTAACACAAATGCTCAGCCACCTCTCCTAGCCCCCTCCCTGCTCTACCATGACATGCCAATAAATACTCCCGATATGTGAGTAATTCCCTAGGAAATAATTTCTCAAGTGCAACTGGTCATACTTTTAATTTTGGGCTAAACTACTGTATAAACATGCCTCTGTCTCTGATCCGAGTTTAGAAGAAACTGGTCATGCATTAACCTGACAAATTTTCTATAATGTTAAAAAGACCAGTGTAGTTTTACTAACAATTAAGATATTGGAACTGATTGGAACCAAAAGAGGGAGAGTAGGAGGTTTCTAATACTCTGTTATGTTCTGCCTGCAACATTGTCTTAAATATATATAGCAAAAGTCAAGGATGCACATAGCTCAGTTGCCTACAAAATGAAATTCATTACATCTTGGCTTATATATCCTGTGAATACAGCACATAAAAATGCTATAAAAACAAATATTTGAAAGCCTAACTAAGCAAAATTGTAATCGATTGCAGTTTGCCAGAATACAGTGTTATGTTAAAGGAAAGTTTCTATGAAGTTTTCAAATTTGTTCAATAATGTGTTACTTAGAGTTCAGGGGTTTAAGACAGTAAAGTGGTAAAACCACGCTTTTCAATTTAGACAGTTAGTTCTAAAATTTTCCTTATATTATGCAATCTCAGTCTGCTCAACTCCAAAATTCCTTTGGAGGCTCGCTAAATCTTTTCTTCTCTGATACACAGCATAAGTCTCACAGCTGTGGATGAATTTCTGAGCAATCCTTTGGTGCTCCTCTGCTTTGACTAGACTGTCACATCCTACGCAACTGTCATATAATAGATACTAAATAATTGTTTTTCCAATTGAACGGAACAGGATTGAATTCTCCTTTCTAAACCATTCCTCCTCCCCCTCCACCCCCTCTTGGCCTCATGTTTTTTATCTATGAAAGAAAATAAGGGCTAACGCCAGAATTCAAAGACTAAGCAGTAGGCAGACTGCTCAGGCAAATACCAACCAAGCAAGCCATTCCCGTAATCCTTGCTAATACAGCAACCCAACCAGGCGACCAGCAAACCCTCCCCATAACCACATTTAGCCTGCGGGATTACCGCAGGGAGATACGATGTACTCCATGTACTTGGAAAGGAATATACTGGACAGTGCATCTAGCATACTTGTCAACCAGGGAGGCAAGGACTGCACTAGTGACCGAATCCCGACTTTCTGTGAGACAATGGCTATGTCTATATTAGCAAATGGTACACACATAAACTGCCAATCTGGAAAATAAAACAGGTGGTGTTGAAGACTTGACACATACACCATACATGTTTCGTGGACTTTATGTTGGACTCGCTCTGGCCATCGATCAAATGCCTCGTAGTAGTCAGAGCACATATTTGGTTTAATTTCATCTGAAAGTAATGTGGCTTGTGTGCTTCAAGACTGCTTTGTGTTGTGAAACAAAGAACAGTAGATGGGAAAAGTCAGAGTATTTGCCCCAAAGTTGCTCCAGATTTCAGCTAAAATGCTAATGCAGATGAATCCAATGCAAGCCTTTTTTATTGGGCCATTATGTGAGAGCATGGATGCAAATGACAGGACAAGGTATTTTAAAAATTACTATTTAATGCCAAACACAGACAGTCAGCAGGAGCTAGTTCTCAAGGACCTTGGAATCAGTATAGTGATTTGTATCTATGAGGCTGCTGCAGCACGTGTAGAGCTCCCACGTGAAAGCTGGAAGAACTTTATACTAATTTTGCACGTCTCTGGTTCACTAAACGAAGCCCAGCTTAAGAGAGTGGACTGTCAGCAAGATGTTAAAAGGAGCTTGTTAAACGCATGGAGAATAGAACATGGATGTCGTATGAGCATAAATTCATAGATGCGTGCGCTCCAGTGGCAAGTGGGGACAAGTTCAATAAGTTCTTATTAGCAATGAAAGCAGAACTGAGTCGGAGAGGCTCCCTCTCCATGGGCAACATGCAAAGACAAAGCAGCCTCCATGAGTCTCCAAAGGAAAGAGGTTAGTAGCACAAGGAAGATCCTTCTTAACCTTCTTTTTGTGCTCTTTGGAGTGAGGGAAACGAATCAATATTAAACCAACGCTGGAACCACATTAAAAAGGATGGATATAAATCAACGTTGTTGTTTGGGTTTTATTATATTAAATTTATTCAAAATCATTTTTAAAGACAAGTGTTAAACCACTGTAAATATTAACATGAAGTTTGTTATAATTATCACTCCTGTCATTTATGTGGGTGAGACTTAACCCATACAATTCACCCTTCCAATTCATGGACTTTGAAGGATGTTATATAGCCTTTTATATTAGCAGTAATGATCTTAAAAGAAAAGATTGTACCAGTAGTGATTAATTTTTTTCCAAAGTACAAAATGGAGAAAAATCCTGCAGAGAAAAACATGTCAATATCTCTAATCCTAGTGAACATTTGCTTTCAAGGTGGGAACACAGACATTACAGGTAAAAAAGAACTACTCTTTGAAAGTACTATAAATAACTTGATCATATTATATAAGTAGTTTGATAAGAAATAGAAAAGAAACTAAATATCCTGTTAAAATCTGATGGGAAAGCCTGAGGAAAATGGCATTAAATACAGTTTTCTGAGTTTGAAAAAATCTATGCCAGCTCATTTTCATGAAATTCACAAGGAATCAAAAGTTTTAAGAGATAAACGAATGTATTTGGACTTACAGGACACACAGTAATGCTTTGCTCCCACTGACTCATGCTCAGACTTTCTTCCAGCGTTGTGCATTTCTTCATCACCATGTCCCAGCCACAATAAGGGTCTTGGGATCCAATGCATGCACTGTGAATGAAAACCAGTCAGAAAACATGAACATCTTCATCTCTGTTGACCAAAGATCTCCAAATAACTATGCGGCATCCCTTCATGTTTCGCAGGCCTAAAACAGACAGCGAAACTGATCCCTGTTGTGGTATGGCACAGATGAAATGACAAAAGAGAAGAAAAATGAATTTGAATGCCTACACAAAGCTAGCATTTCTTTTAAGTGCATAGCTGAATTTCTGGCTGTATGCATGGTATATCGTCATGACTGATTATTGTACTTAATTACTAGAGAATTACAGCAATTCATAAAAAGCCTATGTTGTCTGCTCCAAGTAACGAAGATTTCAGGAGTTACAGTTCTTAGTCTTTCCTATCAGTTTTGGAATTATAGTTATCATCTTTGTCAGAAATCAGATGACAATGTCTACTCTTTGAAAACTAATTAGAAAACCTCTGGTTTGTTGTCTGCACTGCTATAGAATCCCTGGAGGTAAGTTCAAAGGGGTGCCGGTGGCTGCCATCACACCTCTTGCATTTCACACACTGCCCTAGACATTCCCTCCTCTGGCACATGAGGAGGAAAAAGGAAGGTTAGAGAGAAGGATGGTAGTCCAGCTTCCTACAGACTCTGAAAGACCCACTGTAAAAAACTAGTTCTTTTCGCTATTAAACGGCAGCTTTCTTTTGCTACTGGTAGCACAAGCATTAACAGTCCAGGCAATAGGTCTGCAGCTTCACAGCTAAAGATATATCAGAAAGGAGGTGGAAGTCCCATTATAGTGAAGCATAATATAATCGGTTTAACACTTGTAAAAATACTTATAAATTACACATAAAAATCATAAATTCAAACATTTTGTCTAGATTATAAAAAATGCTAAACTGATCATTCTTGCTCAACTCATTCTTCGAGATATTCAAAACCCACCTGGACGTGGTCCTGGGCAACCGGCTCTGGGTGGCCCAGCTGGAGCAGGGGGGCAGGACCAGGTGATCTCTAGAGGTCCCTGCCAAACTCAACTCTTCTGTGATTCTGTCCTCACAAATCCTGTGTTTTATTCATATTTCTATTTATCTCTGGCATTCCTGATGTAGTTCCCACAGTAACATCAGACAAAATCCAGACTTACTAACTCCTTACTATGCTATTCCATAATACCATCATAGAGGATCCTTACTACTTATAAATTTCAAAGAATTAGTTTCTACAGTACACTTGGCAACATGGATTGCCAGTGCTATGTGGGAGCATAGTTCCCATCTGCAAAATGGGCACAGAGTAAGAGACGTAATAGCCAAAACTCCCTAGGTATCCCTAATTAGGCTGCCAGTTCAAAGATAAAGCTTCTGGTTTAGGGGATTCGGTGTTCAGAAAAGAGTTCCCACTGATGGTTCTTGCAGCTGCGAGCACTGAGCATTTTTGTAACTCAGGCTGCACATGTTTCCATTTACTCTATGTAGAAAGTGAGGAGGACAATTGATGCAAATTATGGAAAGTTCTAAGTGTCTTGGTCTTCCAGGGTCTGCAAGACAACATGTTCAGTGTTCTCCTTCGGAGTATCTCTGTTTTATAATGTTTTATAAAAAAATTACTACAAAACAAAAGTAAAGGCTGACCTAATGCACAATTGGCAACATTAGCTGTGCTATTTCTCAGAGTAGAAGTGCTCACTTTTCCAACTTCACTATTCCTTTAAGTGTTAATATTTTTAAATGCAGTTATTAGGCTTTAGACACTTTCTATTAAAAAAATAAAATATTTTAAAAGTCAATACCCTTTCACTCAAAACCACACTCCCTCTTTCCTGGGAGTAAGCTGATCCTTCTCCCACTCTGCTCTTAGACCCTATTTCCTCTTTTGCTTTTGTTTCCACATTACTTTCCACTCAGGCAAATGGCTTGCACCTTTCATTACAAGTCACTTAACAGTTATAAGTAGGGCACTCAAAGCATATTTTGACCGTTCTTAAAACTTCCTGGTATCAGAATGGATCCTAGTTCCATGGAAGAAATAAAGTTAAAAAAAATGCTGAAAAGTCCTTGTACTGCCAGGACAAAGCACGTTCCATCACTCCATGGACACTGAACGTGGCCATTTCAGTAAGTGACCGGGTTTGGAGAGCACTGCAGCAAGATAAAATGAGGTGAATCTTTCCAGAATTTAGTTAAGAAGGTCCACTGACCATATGAAAGCTATGGTTTTAAGAAGTTAATAACTCAGCTAACCTCATGCAGATGACAAGAGGCTTACAAATGCAAAGAACTGCCTCTAAAAATGAAAGGCATTAACAGTCTTCAATAATTTGTTGGGTTTTTTTTCTTTACACTACAATACATAAATTAATCCTGGAAACATATGAACTATTCCAAACAAAGCAACAGGAAATTTCATCTGAGAAGCATTCCTCACATGAGAAACTCTAGTTTTGCCTTATTTATTTTTTATAATGTTCTAATTGATTGTCCCAGTCATTATTATATCTAATCTCATGTTGTAAAAAGTTTAATTTTTGAAATCTTATATTCAGAAAGAAAAATCATACCACAAAAGTGTAGTTCAGCATCACCACCCTCTTTCTGGCATTTCAGTTCACTGTGCCAGATATATTAATGAAATGAGGCAGGACCTGGCTTCAATAGCTGCCCTGTTCTCAGGTATTGGCACAACAGTCCTTTTCCGTTCTGCCTCACATCTCGGGGGGGTTTCTTATTATTTCTTTTAGATCACTTGCTTAGACCACCAGTGTCTCTGAAAAGTGGATATATTTTCTTTTAAGTGAAAAGAAGAGGATAGGTAATATGTGGGTAAATTTTAATCCATATTTGCTTAATTATGCTACCTTTTAAAACCATTTTTTTTCCTTTGAGGGATAATTTAATGTGTGAATAACAGTGGCTAATTATTTTGATCTGCTATGCCTAGATTTAAAACAAAAAAAAAAAGAAACAGATAACAAAATAAGTTTACGGATAGAAAATGAGGATAAAATAAAGCTTGTAAGTATGAAGATATCAGAACTTCTATGTGAAATCTGAAATTAAAGGGACTATTATTAACTCACAGTTATGTGTCCTTACTGTCCTCCGTAATGAAAATTTCATATTGTTTTAACTCTTTTTTAATGAATCTTTCTCCCAAGAGACAGCAGTAAGAGGAACAGCTTCAGTGTGTAGATGAAATAACAAAAGAAACTGTACAACATGGCTGTCAAATTCATGTCAGTAAGGAAAGTTGAAAATTAGGTACCATTACACATCTTTATGCCTTTTTCTTCCCAGATCTCTGTTTAAATTAAAGCCATTTTAGATGCTACTGTTGAAAAATTAGATAAATTTTAAAATTAGTATTAGGTCTTTCAGTTGACAGGGCCCTTTCAGACAGTGACACTGGAAGTAGCAGAGCTGGATAATATATTAGTCATCTTGTCTCTGGGAGTCTACCTTACATCTCAGTTTCACCAGAGATGAAAATGAATGTTTTGTCTGTTACTCCCAGTAGGCACCAGCCCACATCTCTTAGATTTCACGTCCCAGCACTGCTAAAACTGGCAATTTTGTGCGGCAAGGAAATTCAGGAATAAAAGTGAATTGGTGCATTCTAAGACTCTTGATGCCACTCACCCTGTCGAGTCAACGTTCTCTACAAAAACATTCAACAGCTTTTGGCTTCTACTGATTGATGCTAATTTTCCTCTGCGTTGTCATTTCACATTTTTTACCAAACGTGAATGATAAGTAGTTGAGTGTCTCTCCTGCAAGGCGTTCATTTGGCTGCGCTGGTTCGGTACGCCTACAGACAGTCGTGCAACACTTAATGGATTTTGACTGACTAGTAACAGAACCGTAAGTCACCTCACTCTGAAGCAAGCAGCAATAGCAGGTCATTTTCTTCAGCGATTTCATAATTATCACCAAGCAGGCTAGCAAAACTGCTCTACTTCAGTTACATGTGAGAGGATTTATTCAGACAGAAAATGAGGCCAAAATGAACACCACGCAGAGCAAAATATATAAAAAAACCCATACAGTTTCAGACTAAAAAGAATCTGTTATGTGTGCTCCAAAGAATAAAAAACCATTAAGATTAAAAGCTATATCCTGATACCACTGATTTAAAAGAGATTTTTAAATCTCCTTTCAGGGGAAGAATATATTCCCATATCAATATACATTGTAAGTGCTAATCAGGTGTCCTCTTGAGCTGTAACATTTTATTCAGAGCATATATAAACCTAAGAGGTGCATCTTCTGAGCCTGTTCAATGAAACATTTTTCTGTCTTTACCTATACACCGCATTTTGAAGAACAGAGGATATTTCAGTCTCCTGACCCTTTCAATCGTTCCTACTGAGATAGCCATGCCTACCTAGTTCCAATTACTGTCAGCTGTGATCTGGACACTTTGTATACCAGGAACTGAACTGGGGTCACCATCTTATTTCACAGAAGCTAGATTCCTCACTGCAAATTTGAACAGACAACCAAAGATAAAAGCCTGTCTCATGTTCCAAACGCACTGTGCTATCCATTTCTGAATGAATACATAAATCTGATACTAGACTTCTGTACAAAGGTACCTATCAGTGTTTTCATTACTGCTGGTTTTGTAGATATATACGTATATATATGTGTGTGCAATGAAGAACGGGGATGTAAAGATACAGATGAATGATGCAGAAGAGCATAAATAGTAGGCACATAATTTACAAAGTCCTAGGAGCTCAAACTAAGATGTGTGTCAGATATTCAGAATCCTGCTTAACCCTTGCCTATACCTATAAGAAAAAGCAAATCTTTTAATCATCTCAGTCACTCTGTGTGGACTACTGTTGCTTCCTCTGACTTGAATTTCTATGAGACAATCAAAATCCATCTAGGAATGATTCACTAAATCTACAAGCTCCTCCCTTCAAATCCAGAATCAGGAATTTATGTATAATTTGTTTAGTAAAGTCCTTTATAACACACAGTTCTCTGAATATTGGTGCTTCCAAGTAGCTCTACCGAGAACAATG